AATGGTAACAATAATAGATAATGCAACTGATGTGATTTTTTTATATATGTAATTGTGATGGCGACGTTCTGTTCTTCTTACTCTGTCTATACGATTGTCTAGACTTTTGTTGAAGAGATTGTCTTTCGCCCCACGTAAGGTACACATAAATGTATATTTTGGCAGCTTGGTACGCAAAATATCGTTTACAAACATCAGTAGTCAGTTATATGTATATTATGAACTGTGTCGTTGTACACACACAAAATATAGTATGTGTTTATTTTTATGTATATATCTTTTATCCCAACATAATTTATAATTTTAAGCACATATATCCTCCATAAAAGTCAGTTCATCGTTACCGCTAAAATAGTCTCCGGTTCTTGTTACTTTCCATACGAAATCCAGCAGCATGAAATTGCTATTTCACGCTGGTATTCTGTGTGAGCTTGGTCCTACCTAGGTCGAGCCGACCAACTGTGGAATTCTGACTTTTTTTATGTATGTTACGCGATATCTTCGTCAATTGTAAACTACGTGGTAGAGTCATGCTGCAGCTATATTATGGTTGTAGCATGAATGGGTCGGCTCGACCGGGGAAGGACCACGCTCTTACAGAAAACCCGCGTAAAATAGCAGCTTAACGCTGCTGTGTTTCGTATGGCGAGTGTAGAGAACCGGAGTCCCTTTTTACTGGCAAAGAGGCATTCCATCTTAGTCCCCACGGGTGACAACGCATCTGCATCTTGAGTCTTTATTGAGGATAGATGTAGATGTCTATGGGTCACAGTAACCACTTATCATCAGGTGGACTGTGTTCTCGTTTGTCATCCGATCCTATAAAAAAAAACTGATTTTAATGATTCGTTTTTATTAAATAGGTTATACTTCAGGAGTAATCTCATTAAATTTAGAAATAAAATTCCACCTTTAAGGGTAAATAAATACGGGAAGAAGTTTTTAATGTAAATTTAGTTATTTAGACGAAATTTGACCTGATATTCCTAAGTCAAAAGGGTCAAAAAATTATACTTTTAATAATAATATGATAGTTGTAATGATCCTGATATTTATTTTGTTTTATCCTGGTGATCTTGATCAGGATACTAGGATAGAGTTACAAATTGTTTCTATTGTCATCGGTCCTTGATACGTGTGTAAATTTTCAAGGTTGGTAAAATTATATTAAAATATTCTGTTACATATATAGATACACGCGAAGCTAATAAAAGCGTATCGTATAAAGGGCCGGTTACAATACAACAATTTAATAACTTTATCTTAGTATCAAGATCAGGATCATCAATATAAAATTTAAGCGTCAGTAGCCTAATGGCAGGACGCAGACCGCAAACTCGAAAGGTCGTGGGTTCGATCCGCCATTCGACTACTGTCGTGAACCACTTCTAACACAAGTATTTTAAGCTTACCAGAAGTGGTTAAAGGGAATATTAGTAATGTTTAATAACATTACTAGTATTTAAAAAAAAACATTTATCAGAATCATCACGACTCATGAACAATGCGTGTTCTTTAAGTTTTCTTAAATTTTAAAATTATTTAATTCGTGCATTCGTTACAGCATATCAATAATACACTGCTGAACAAAATCCTCACAGCTTGCCTTATGCTTGGCTGGCAGATTGGCATTCACAGTTTTTTTACTACTTTGAATTATTAATGCTGTCCATCATGCCGTTTCATATCCCTCCGTCCCCTCTTACGACATCCGCGGGATGATATGGGTTAGTGTATTGTCTTACACAACCACTACACAATGTTTCATGCTTTATCATCCCACTACTGAACATAGGTTTAGCAATTGAACTACTGGGTATCTCAAAGGGGCTGTTACCTATTGCCTTTATTAGTAAATCATTATTTCCGAATCTTTACTGAAAAAAAATGACATCATAACCATCGTGCACATATTAATTATTCCCTCCTGGCAACCCTCTCTATTTGTAAAGTTCTATCACAATCAATTTAGCCATTCCGAACATTAGCACATATAGAAATACGAGTACAGACAGATAGACAAAAAAATATTTTCAGAGACTCTTTAATTTCATTTTATGTATAGATTATTAAGAAAAATAGAAGCGAATTGTTTTTCTTTTAGAATCAATGTAAAAGATCGTATTGCAGGCATTTCTGATACCAAATGTATTTTTCAATTCAAATGTTGTAAACTTGGGACTTCGTTAGATGGGATGTACCGGGAGTAGGCGGGAGCGGTCGGGGTCACCGAAATAGGTCAGTGCCAGAACAGCCTTGGCCAGCCAGCGCCGCTGGGATACCTGTTGAACGATTGTTTGCTCAGGCGTTCTCATAAAACAGATGTAATAAGTAAATTTTTTCTCACTCAACAGATCTCTAAAATTTTTGTGTTGTACATTTTTTTTTCATTTATGTACTTAGTTAAGGTTCTCAATTCAAACATTTTATTTATGTGATTATTTTTGTTTTTTTACCAATAATTAAATCAAAATCAGGGGCAGTTCAAACATTGTTAAAATTAAAATTGGTATTTTTTTCATAATCTGTCTTTAATAGTTCAATCTATGTATAACCATAAGAACATGAGTCACCGAGTTTTGCTCAGCGTCAATTTTATTATATACTAGCTGTTCCCCGCAACTTCACCCGCAGTGTTATTGGGTGTTTTTTTTTTTTTGCGGAACCCTAATTCTTTTTCTAAAATAAAAGTAGCCCAAGTTACTCCTTGAGATATCAGCTATCTGCCAGTGAAAATCCCGTCAATATTGGTCCAGCCGCTTCGGAGATTAGCCGGAACAAACAGACAGACAGACAAAAACTTGAAAAATTGTATTTTTATTATTAGTACCGTATATACTTTCATATGCATTTAGTAAAAAGCTGTAATTTTGACATTACATACAGACACTTCAATTTTATTTATTTGTATAGATATGGTACTAATTTTAATTTTCTCACGGATGACACATATCTAAATAAACCTACTTATCAAATGGCATTTTTGTGTCATTGTCATTTTTAATAACTAGATAAGAGTTATGTATTCATACTGTCGCTACCTACTTTTGCAATTCCATTATATATTATATGGTCAAAATTTAATTATAAAATTAAGAACTTAGTAAACTTAGCTCTATTTTTTTTTATAGAATAAGGGTGACAAACGAGCACAAAGTCCACCTGATGGTAAGTGGATGCCGTGATCCATAGACATCATTTATCCTCAATTAAGAATCAAAATACAGATGCGATGTCACCCCTGAGGAATGATAAGGAATGCCTCGTTTTCAGTAGTAATGTCTAGTTTTTCAGGTCTCCGTTTCTCTACACTCACCATACGATACACAGCAGCATTAAACTATTTTACGCTGGTATTCTATGAGAGCACGTTCCTACCACAGTCGAGCCGACCTATTTGTGCTACAACCATGATATAGCTGGAGCATGGCTCCACCACGTACAAACTCTATTATCTCGAATATTGTTCTAGGTAGTCTCCTTTCCTTCCCAGAAATCTGTCTAGCAGTGCTTGCACCGCTGCGTTTCGGTCTCAACGGTATAGAGCCAGTATAGTTTCAGACTGTGAGGCAATCGATCTTAGTCCTCAGAAATAACGACGACTGTAAGCTCTTTCGTCACTTCAGTTTTATAAAAAAAAATAAAGATTTTAGAAATGTATGAAATGCTATAAATCAGGACAAAGCAATAAAAGTTTAACGCGACTTATTACCCTTATCATGTCCGTTACTAATAACTAGCTTGTTATGTTTGTATGGAAGCATAAATATTTGTTTAACACGGCAGACGATGTAAATCCTCGGATCCGGCGAAACCCATACAAGCACATTTTAAGTGATAATAGTATAATAAAAGCTGTTTATCTATGTGTGTACGTTTATAAAACAAGCTACCAAATATTCTCAAAATGTTAAATACTAGATTATATAATCAAAATTACAGGAATACCTTATTAAGAATAATTTCTATAGCATTATGGACTCTATTAATCATAAGTCTTAATGTACTAAACCAAAAACTTTGCATGCTATGTATAACTGTAGCAAAACATTCTGTTCGATTGTATACTATTTGTTAAATATTTTTCATACCATGTTTTAAGCAAATAAATGTATAATTATTATTAAATTTTCACCTCGTACAGCCGAACAAAAAAATGTTTTTAATAGTATTAATTTTAATAGTATGTCACCTTACACGTGTGCACGTAGTTTACCTTACCTTAAATTTATTTACTGTAATAAAACTAAAGTGACAAACGGACTTGTAGTCCACCTCATGGTAAGCTACTGCAGTCCATAGACAAAGGAGGCTGCAGATGCGTTCTCAACTCAGATCACAATGATGGAATGCCTCGCAGCCTGTAGATGTACTGGCTCTCCATACATTCTGGTCTTAGTTTAATGACGACCATTGTTAGAACACGCACTGCGAAAATTATACCAATTTTCCAATAAAAACCTTTTATGTTATATTAAGTATCATAATATCAAAGAAATATTTATAATTTTAGACATTGAATATATTATTAATATTATAATATAAATGTTTAATATTGTATTTTTTTAGTTATTAGTACGTGGTAGAGCCATGCTGCAGCTATATTAGTAGTATAGTTGTCGCACGAATGGGTCAGCTCGACCGGGGAAGGACCACGCTCTCACAGAATACCAGCGTAAAATAGCAGCTTAACACTGCTGTGTTTCGTATGGTAAGTGTAGAGAACCGGAGACCTTTTTTACTGGAAAAGAGGCATCCCATCTTAGTCCTCACGGGTGACAACGCATCTGCGTTTTGATTTGCTAACGAGGATAGATGTTGATGTCTATGGGCCACAGCAACCACTTACCATCAGGTGGACTGTGTGCTCGTTTGTCACCCTATCCTATAAAAAAATATTAGTTTGTCACTCAAGTTTTACTTGTTGTTATTATTTATATGTAAAATGATATTTGTAAAATTATAATAATATTTTGTTGTTTCTGTTAAATATAGCCATGATGCGGCGTGGTTCGATGGCGATACTTGGTGGCGGCGAACCATTAATCGTAGTTGAAGAAAGCGGAGTGGAAGACACAGAATGCTCATTTCGTTCACTTGCCACCACCCGTGACCTCTCCGTGGACCAGGAATCTCCACCGGATCCATATCATTTGTCGCCATGGCGGGAAAATCGGAAACATTCCTTGCCCACGCCGTCATGCACATCTGGTCCGACCGCTAGCCAGGTGTGTAGAAAAAATAAAATGAACTGAAGATATTAATAAAATATAATAACACAACACACATCACAAGCACAACTACATAATAGATTAACGTCAATCTCGCATTTTACCTACATCACTAATCATGCACATCATATGTTAAGACACCTAATCCACACATGCCAAGGTTTTGAGCATAGCTCTACCCAGTACTTTATATAATTTATTACTAATAATCATTGATTTACTGTATAGTACAGCACAGTGTTAAGAAAGTGTTTCGAGCAAGACCAAAAATAAAATACACTAGAGCGTTAAGATATAAATGCAAACTCGGCAATTAGTGTTTCACCGTATACATACTACTTCCATACATACATACGTACATTCATACAGCGTCATGCCTCACAGTTCACGGCTGACAACGCATCTGCATTTTAATTCGCAAACGAAGATGATGTTTATTTTTGATATAGGAGAGGGGGCAAGCGAGCATGTGGCTCACCTGATGGTAAGTGACTACCGCCGCCCATGAACAACTGCAACACCAGGGAGGGAATTGCAGATGCGTTGCCGGCCTTTAAAACTACTGTGTGACCCATAGACTTTAAATGTCTATGGGTCACACGCAACCACTTACCATCAGGTTGACTCTGTGCTCGTTTGTCACCCTTCTTCTTTAAGAAAAAAGAATTATGTTAGGACTACTTTTAGCTAGAAAGTCTAGTATATAATATAGTAATAGGCATAGGCCTACGCAATCACAAACACAATATTAAATTAGTCGCCTTTTACGACATGCTAAGAAAGTAACACAGTTGTCACATGCATTTTATTATAAGCCCTACATGAACATGACAGGTACCTATAAGTCCCAGACCAATAGACCAACATGGGACGTACCTACTTCTTTTTTTCTTCTTCTTCTTTATCAGCCCGTTAAACCTATTGCTTTGAAATAGACTTCTGCAGTTTTAAGAAGGACTCGGCTTATTTATCGTACTTTGCAGGCGACAGACAGCAGCGTTAATCCAGCAATCGAAAGCGATAACATTTTTCCTGGATTTCCATTGTTTCGTGGGTTTTAGATTCATATGTGTCATACGGGACAATATTCTCACGCTATATATTATTAAAAGAATAGGAGTTATTAAGTTAAAAGCTGGGACAAAATATCGTCATTAATTTCGAGTAAATCATAAACGACAATTAATCTTAGCGCGAAACATGAACAGCTCCACAACGAAACGAGACGACGATAAGCAACGTTAAATTTGTCATGACTCAGTGTGTTCATTTTTTGTTAATTTTTTAAGCCGTCAAACTCTAAGATTTCATGCTAAATTAATCGAACCCGTTCTAATGATAAACTATGCCTTCGATTAGATGACGTAAAATAAAAACGCGACGATGGTAAATGCTAATTATATTTCGAAATAAAACATGGTGTGATATTGGCTTAGTCCCGTTACCTCGGATCACCGGGTGAACTCGACCAAGCCATGCATGCGCGAACACATCTTATACACATCAAGCGTAGAAAGGTTGGGCGATCCGTGTGGAGCCGGCATATGTAGTAAATATTTTTATATTAATCAATAAAGCCGTGTTGTGACATGGCCGCGTCGTGGCGGTATATGAATATCCACGACCCTATATCGTTCTATGGATGTCGTCTTTCTAATAACTACTTGAAAATAAAAAACTGAAGTTGCCAACCCGTCTGCCAAGAATGGCAACTATGGCAAAGATGAGATATATGTTCAACTGTTGGCTTTTGATAGGCTTTAATGGTAAATGGTAATCAATGAAGCGCTTAATCTATATTTGTGAATGTTTACAACTAATGAAAAACTTGTCCCACAAAAGGTAAGACGCCTGTCTGAAAGAGGAGAAGGCGCTGCTCGGGAAGCACGCGAAGCAGCGTTTTTAGCAACACTAAGCCAAACGTCACCGCAGCCTGGTGGGAGAAGGTACATTTCGCTTATATGTTTGTATAAAAGTAAAGTGAGTAAGGAACTTGCAGTCCACCTGGTGGTAAGTGGCTACCGCCTATGGATACCTACAGCTGACTTCAAATAAAGAAAGCTACAGATGTGTTTTTGTAGGATTGGGTGACAAACGAGCACACAGTCCACCTGATGGTAAGTGGTTGTTGTGACCCATAGACATCCACATATATCCTCAATAAAGAATCAAAATGCAGATGCGTTGTCACCCGTGGGGCTGAGATGGAATGCCTCTTTTCCAGTAAAAAGGGTCTCCGGCTCTCTACACTCACCATGCGAAACACAGCTGTGTTAAGCTGCTATTTTACGCTGGTATTCTGTGAGAGCGTGGTCCTTCCCCGGTCGAGCCGACCTATTCGTGCTACAACTATACTATTAATATAGCTGCAGCTCTACCAAGTACCTAAACACCTCTGAGAACTAAGATAGAATGCCTCACAGCTTGGAATCATACGAGCTCTCCACACCCTTTAGACCGGAACACCGCTGTACAAGCACTGCTATTTGGCGGCAAAGTCAAAATTATAATTATGTCATTAAATAATAAGTCGGGGAAACAGTATCTTCGTATTTGGTTTGTATAAAATTGAAGAAAAATCTCTTTCCTTGTACTGTTTTATCTGGCTGGTTTTAATATCAATACATATGGGATATTAAGAAAAATAAAAATAAAAAGTAAAAAATCGACAAAATTAATGAATCTAACGAAGATTTTACACGAACGAACGAGGAATAGGTCTTAAGATGAACATGGACAAAACAAAGATCATGTTTAATGTCCATGTCACACCTATGCCGGTAGTTGTTGGGAGCACTAAGCTCGAAGTTGTTGACGAGTATGTTTACCTGGGACAAATAGTCCGACTAGGTAAGTCCAACTTCGACCGAGAGGTCAATCGACGGATTCAACTCGGCTGGGCAGCGTTCGGGAAACTACGACACATCTTCTCGTCAGACCTACCTCAAAACCTTAAAACGAAATTGTACAACCAGTGCGTGTTGCCAGTGATGACTTACGCATCTGAGACGTGGTCCTTCACTGCTGGCCGTATGAGGAAGCTCAAGTTCGCTCTGCGAGCTATGGAGAGGGCTATTCTCGGGGTTTCTCTGAGTGATAAACTTAGAAATGAGTATATCCGCAGTAAAATCAGAGTAACCGACATAGCCCAACGGATTAGTAAGCTGAAGTGGCAGTGGGCCGGCCATATAGCTCGAAGAACCGACAACCGATGGGGAAGAAAGGTTCTCGAGTGGCAGCCTCGTACCGGTAGGCGAAGTGTAGGGCGACCCCCCACGAGATTGAGTGACGACCTACCAGGTCGAGACATGCAAGAAGTCGATGGATGCAGGTGGCTCAGGACCGTGCTTTGTGGCATTCCTTGGCGGAGGCCTATGTTCAGCAGTGGACTTATGAAAGGCTGTAATGATGATGATGATGATGAAGTTTTACACAAAAAAAGGGAAAATGCGACTCAAGTCGTGAAAAAACTTTGTGACGTTTATGGATCAAATGCAATGTCAATAAGAGGAGCACAAAGTTGGTTCAAGCGTTATCATTCCGAGAATTTTGTTCAAGAATGTTTGTCAAAGACGCAGCTCGCTTTGGTCGCCCTCATACGGATAAAGTCGATGCCATTTTTGAAAAAGTGGAGCAAGATTGACTTATTAGTAGTCACGACAGAGCCGAGAAATCGAGGATTGACCACAAAACAGTTTTGACCCATTTGAAAAAGTTTGGCTATACAAAAAGCTCGATATTTGGGTACCACACGACGTCACTGAAAGAAACCTAATGAATCGTGTACTCATTTGCGATTCTCTATTGAAACGTAAAGAAACCGAACCATTTTTGAAAAGATTGATTACTGGCGATGAAAAGTGGATCACATACGACAAGAACGTGCGTAAAAGATCATGGTCAAAGGGTAGTCAAGCTCCAGAGACTGTAGCGAAACCCGGAATAACACTCAATAAGGTGATCTTGTGTGTATGTTGGGATTGGAAGGGCATCCTATATTATGAGCCATATTATGGCCAAAACCATCGATTTGGATCTCTACTGTAAAACCTTATGAGACTCAAGCAAGAAATTGAGAAAAAATAACCCAAATTGATCAACAGAAAAGGAGTGTTCTTTCATTATGATAACGCCAGAACACACACATCTTTGGCCACTCAGCAAAAATTGAGAGAGCTTGGTTGGGAAGTGTTAATGAATCCACCATATAGTCCTGACGTACTTTCAGATTCTCACCTGCTTCAGTCTCTTCAGAATTCTTTGGGTAGTGTTAAGTTAACATCAAGAGAGGACTGTCAAAACTACTTGTCGCATTTTTTTTATTAAAAATTCCAATATTTCTACAGCAACAGGATTGTGCCACTACCTACAAGATGGCAACAAGTTATTGAACAAAATGCACATACATATATATTAAAATTAAATCTAATTAAACTTTGAAAAAAATTATCTTGAATTTGTATATAAAATTCGAAGAAACTTTTTCCCCGACCTAATAAATATTAAAGAGAAAAATTGGTGTTTTACGATCAAGGAGTAAAGAAACAACATCACATTAACGTATCGCTGCCATGCGATGCAGGGACGTTATTTTCACAAATCTATTTTAAATATTTAATCAATTTATTAACTGGCTTTTAAATATTTAACAAGTCCAATTCTTTACAGACATTCCGTTGTAACAATTTCGCGTGTACCCCAAGCGTTGTTTGGTCGTGGACGCCGAGAATCAATCGCTGCATTTCCAGCGCTCAGTCGACGAAGAGATTCAGGTACTAAAAAATGTAAGTGAATAAAAAGGAGAATGATAGTAAAAATAAAATAAAAATACAATAAAAATTCTTCTAACTTGATAAAAGCACATGTCGAACAGGAAACTTTTCATATTAATTAAGCATTTTCAAAATACATAACCTTAAATTAATATATAAAAAGTATGAATGTAATTATGCACTAATTGTTTTATTTTATCTCAGGTCCACCGGCTACCGACACACTAGGCAGTACCCATAACTTGCAGCTCGATATAATGGATGACATAGTACAGGCTCGTAAAGTTAGGATGCGTCTTTGGAATACTTCCAGTGAACGAGTTTGTGAAGTACAGCCACTTGATGAGCGATCACCCATAAGTGGTTCTGTACGATATACAAATCGCGGTCGGCGTCATTCCGACTTTGTAGGCGCACCATTGCCTCCCATCCCTGCGCGTCGTCGTGCTTCAGAAATGCCACCACCTCCACCGATTCCTCCTCGAAGTGGAGTTGGCGTTGTATGCACTGATACTGACCTTCATCTAATGCTCAATGCGCTTACATCTTCTGCTACAGAGATAGATCGTTGTGGAAAACCAGACAGGCGTCTAGCTGACATGCGCTCGAGTAGTTTCGATGCTTCTACTCTCCGTGAAAAATCTACAGAATCGGGCACTACTTGGTTTACACGACGCCACCAAACATTAGCAACGAAAAAAAAAGAAAACGAAAATAAGAAACCTAAAGTTACATTTGCTCCGGATTCTAAACCAGCTCCAGGGGATGCCGCTGCTGTTATTTGGGATAAACCAACAGGCTCTGTTGTTGATGCAAGTGCTCTTGGAAGTGCTATTGAAGTATTTCTCAGAAGAAGTAGTGCGGTTGAGCCAGTACCCTCTACATCAGGTGTAACTACACCGAAACAAATCAAGAAAGCTGAAAAACAGCGTAAAAAAGGAACTGAAAACCGAATAAAGTCTAAAGAAACTCCTAGTACTAGTAAACAGTCAGAATATGTAGAAGGGGAGCGCTGGGGTAGCAAGTCGGAGGAAGATGATGCCGGAGATGGTTGCGATGCTTCTATATGTTCATCGTTAAAAGATCTTTTCGTGTAGGCACCTCCAACTCAATTCAAATCTTATAAATAATAAGTTAATTGTCGAGTACATCTCTCAAATGGTGATTTAAAGAGAAACGCTGTGACGTATTGTCGTACGATGTGTCGTCTTATATATGCTCAGTGTACCTTACTTTATAAATCTTTCAATGTGATAGACTGCGTGCTGGCGCCGGTCGTCCTGAGTCGACTCACGACCGACGCCTGCTCAGCGTGAAATTATTTTTAGAGTAAATTCTATTTTCATTGTAAAGTTTTTAATATTAGTGATCATAATAATAACTTAATGTTAGATAGAAAATTTAAGTATTCGTGATCCATAGACGTGTGTTTTCCAAGTCATGCCACGGCCGGCAATCCCTCCACACGTCCTATCCAACCCGCTCCGTCTCGTTCCAAAATCTGTGTCTTGTAATCCAATGTTCATAATAACAATTAATGTATGCCATATAGCAAACGATTATGATGAGACTTCGGGAGTATCTACGCTTAATAGACAATGTCGACTTCTGTCGTCTTTATCAATAAAAGTTTTTATCGATGTTATACTTCGTTTTATTTGTATAACTTATATAGACTCACAGAATACCAGAGTAATTTAACGCTGCTGTGTTTAAGGTGAGTGTAGAGAACCGGAGATACTTTTTATTGAAAACGAGTCATTCCATCGTAGTCCTCACGGGTGACAATGCATCTGCATTTTGATTCGTAATAGAGGATAGATGTAGAAGTATATGTGCCACAGCAGACAGTTATCATCAGGTGGACTGTGTGCTCGTTTTTCACCGTTATACCATAAAAAACTTAAATGGAACGTCAAAGTACCACAAGTACGAGTACGTGGTTTACCTATAGATTATATGAAGCACTTCATATAATCTAATTATTTAATTCTGATAAAATCTACACATATAATCAAATAAATATAAATAAATTGTAAGCATTTTTTTCTATGTTCGTTTATGCGTCTGTGCACGCTAACCTCTATAACGGCCTAACCAATTTGGATGTGGTTTTCAGAGATGCATTGGGGTAAGCTCGGGATAACAACGCTATTACAATACAATAAATACAGGAACTCCTTAACATCTAACTACAACTATGTAAATAAGTTATATAACATATGTATTTATGTAATGTTGGAAAAATAATTTTCCATTTAGTATGTGTAATTCTTATTAAATAATAAAATAAAAACGACAAGCGTTACGAGGTATCGTGGAGGAGCTTGACAAACATAGGTACAATTATGTTTGTCAAGCTCCTCCTGAGTAAAGAAATTGACGATACTATACTATATTATTTAACACAAAATTTTTTATAGGGTATTATTTTATAAAAAAGCATTATATATTATTTTTCTTATTTATTTTAATATTTGAGTAATTATTATTGGTCTAGAAGTTCAACAAAGGCAAAAGGCGGCATAAGAGCATCTGTCACCCCATTTCGTCCCGAGAGGCGTGAGAGAGAGAGAGAGAGAGTTAACGAATGGAAATGCCAAGTCTGACACTATGGTCGCAAGCTTTTAAGTAACGTAGCGTAGATTTTGTTTTGTTTGTAGCGTTGATGTGTATTTGTATTTTCTTTTCTACCGACTTCAAAAAGATGGTACTCAATTCGACTGTATGTTTTTTTATGTGTGTTACTTCATAACTTTTTACTGAGTGAACCGATGTCGATGATTCTTTTTTATTTGAAAGCTGGTGCTTCTCGTGTAGCCCCATATAAATTGATCATGAAATTGATCAAGGTCTGACCAACAGTTTTTGAGTTATTCTTAATAATTTTTATTGAAGTCGATTGTACAAAATTTTTAATTTTAATTATATAAAACTGTAGTGACAAACGAACTTACAGTTCACCTGATGTTAGGTCGCTACTACAGCCCAAAGGCATCTGCAGCCAACTTTAAATAAAAAAGGTCTGCCGATGCGTTTTCACCTCTATGGACTAAGATTTAATGCCCCACAGCCTCTAATTATATACTCTTCAGACCGGAATATAGCAGTGCCTGCTATATTCCGGTGTATTTATTCGGTCTAATTATTTATTATTTCCGGAATATAGCAGTGCCTGGTATATTCCGGTAAGAAATAAGCAGGTTTGGCCTCCCATGGAATACTGTTTTCATCTCTTAGCCGGGGCTTCCCAGTGCCAGCTCCTTTCACTTGACCGCATCCGTCAAATTTTACAAACGCACATTGTGACAAAACGCACATTACCATCCACAGGATGGGATGTTTGGCGGTCCACTACTGTGCGGTTTACTAAAAGTTTTCTTTTTCGCACGACTGCTTTGTGGAATTGTTTACCACTGGCGATTTATCCGACGTTGCATTAGTTAATAGGCGGCGATCAATACTTACCATCAGATATAAAAAAAGGAATGTAACGTAGTAGACAGTTTTATTTTTACAATATTATGTTTATTTTATGTTATGTTTATGGAAGAAATGTTTGGAATTTCATTTCGAGCCGGTTGAAGCCAGGGGCCAAAAATATAAGTCGAAAATTCTTCATACAACTGAGAATATTATATAACTTTTTCGAATGTTGTTCATGGAGCTTAGCCTCCCTTCTTGAGCTTGGGGGCCCCGGGGCACTGTCCCGCCTAGCCCCATGGTAGCTACGCCTCTGTTTCATATAATATCCTTTCATTTCTGAGAGGTGTTGGACAAGGAAGAGTCCACCGCGCTGCTCCAAAGCGTGTTGGTGGACTTCACATGTCTTCAAAATAGTTTTTATTTATTTCTCAGATATATAGGTTTTCTCACGATGTTTTCCTTCACCGCCGAGCACGTGGTAAATCAGAACTTAAAATTGCAATTACTGTTAAATTTTTTATATATTAATTTGATTATTTTGTTATATGTTTTATGTTACGCGATATTATAAACCGATTTTAATGATTATTTTTAAATTGAATACAGGGACGGTTGCGTATAAATTTGAATAAATAATTCCACCTGTTAGGGTGGAAAAATAGGGAATGAAATGTTTTATGTAATTATTAGACGACATTTTAGTTATTAACTTGAGCTTGTGATATTCCATATTCCACTCAGACAGGTAAGAAATTAAACTTTTTTCTATCGCCATCATTAGGCCACTGCTGAACAAACACTTCACTTACCGGAATGAGACTGTCACTTAAGAAACCGTTCAAATTTTATATCTTCTTCTTATTTTTTTATTTGCATTTTTCAAAAGCGCAGTAAAAACTTGACACAGGTCCAACCTTATCTTTAAAGTCCGGCTGGACACCATACATTATTGTATATGACGGCACCTGCACCGTTGTAGGTGCGGTGGCGTCGGTCTAGCTAGACAGAATTCTTGTAAACGACACGTGTACCGCACACCTGCGGCATTGCACCTGCGTTGCCACCCGTCCTGCTTGTATAAAACGGACGGAGCGGCCGCCGTTAAGACAGTCTTGGCTCTGACGTGGAACGGTGCGCTTGTCGTATTCCCTTACTAGTTTATCCTCGACTCGTTGGATAATTAATTCGTGTAAACGAATTAATTATTATTCCTAACTACAAAATTAGTCTCTGTACTATACTCAATTACCCTTCCTACATATACATAGCGCGAGGCGCGCATCTCCGCGAGACCCATTTTACTACTTTTATATTTTCAACCTACTTTAAAAATGAAGGAGGTTCTCAATTCATCGGAATCTGTTTTTTATGTATGTTCACCGATTACTCGAAGACGTCAGAAACGATTTGAAAAATTATTTTTTGTTTGAAAGCTGGTGCTTCTCATGTAGTCCCATGTAAATTTGATCAAGGTCTGATCAGTAGTTTTTGAGATATTCTTAATAATTGATATTGAAGTCGGTTGTACAAAATTTTAAAATGTACCTTGTAATTGTTAATAAAAGTATTTATTTAAAAAAAATGTCCATAAAAATTTTAATACGATTAACTTTTAGAACATGCATTATAATATAATTTCGTGCTGTAATTAGGACGTAAAACGAAAAATGGTTTTAAAATCGACACTGTTTCGGATTTTTTGTCGATCGAGCAAAGTACAATGTATCGTGTTTTGAACCTTAAATATCACTCAATCGAGGATGTATCTATTACATATGTTTTTTCTGGACTTAAATATAGTAATTTGACTATTTAAAGATAATTTTGCGAGATATAATATTAGGATAACTCATTATAAAATATTTATGTACTGACTCCGTGGAGTCAAGAAACTGGTATCACTAGCTTGTGTTTGTTTCTAATGACATAACTTTCAGGTACAGTCAACCACATGTCACACGTACCTACACGTGATGCCATAAATGCCAGCATTAATTTGTGTTACTTATAAATGCTTAAAGTTAGTCTACTACGTTCAAGTTTAATTACTTTTGCAAATTGACATTTTAATTAGGATAATAGAAATAACAGACTCATACTCTGTTATACAAAATTAGTAATTTCTATATTTACAATTTTATACATTCAAGTGACGCTTGTTAATAAGCTTAATATTAACATATAATTATAAATAATAATGTATGTGAGAATGTTGTAGAAATATATTAAAGTTTATTTTTTTAAACAATAATAGGTTAAGAGTTGAAGTTTAATTTAGTCTCTTTCTGATGCAATGAATCATTATCAGCTAGAAAACAGTGTACTGTATACTATACATTCAGTATAGTGCAGTTACAATTTTGACACAGAGTAATGTGATTGAATTTTTTATATAGGATAAGGGTGACAAGTGAGCACACAGTTCAGCTGAAGATAAGTGGTAGGTGTTGGTGGTGGCCCATAGACACCTACATCTATCTTCGTTTGGGAATCAAAATTCAGATGCGTTGTCAGCCTTGAGAACTAAGATAAAATGCCTCTTTTGCAGTAAAAGGGGTCTCCAGTTATTTAGACTCACCATACGAAATACAGCACCATTAAGCTGCTATTTTTCGCTGGTATTCTATGAGAGCGTGGTCCTACCCCGGTTGAGCCTACCTATTCACGCTAC